ACAGCCCTTGGGCCCAAAACATCTGAGCCTTCAGTGATCTTAATACTCTAAGAAGAAAAAACACCTTTGTTCCTGTAAGTTGTCAGTTACTCGGGTGCTGACAGACAGAAAGAAAAACATCTTGCAGTGAGGAACACCAAAATTCTGCCTAGAGACAAACTTTTGTGTGGTTTTCCAGCTGGCTGGATGCATGCACATCCTGTAATGAGAGGTGGGTCTGGAAGGGGAAGCAGTGCATGTATATCCATATAAAGTATTAGAATTCAGGAGAAATTAAAACAGGGGGGGTGATTATTGACACGGGATGAGACCCAGGAATAGATATTGATAGGTAAATTTGGGTGAGTAATAGAATCATAGAATACTTAGGGTTGGAAAGGACCTTAAGAACCTGCCATGGGCAGGGACACCTCACACTAAACCATGGCACCCAAGGCTCTGTCCAGCCTGGACTTGAACACTGCCAGGGATGGAGCATTCACAACCTCCCTGGGCAACCCATTCCAGTGCCTCACCACCCTAACAGGAAAGAATTTCTTCCTTATATCCAATCTAAACTTCCACTGTTTCAGTTTGAACCCGTTACCCCTTGTCCTATCACTACAGACCCTAATGAAGAGTCCCTCCCCAGCATCCCTATAGGCCCCCTTCAGACACTGGAAGCTGCTCTGAGGTCTCCACGCAGCCTTCTCTTCTCCAGGCTGAACAGCCCCAACTTTCTCAGCCTGTCTTCATACAGGAGGTGCTCCAGTCCCCTGATCATCCTCGTGGCCTCCTCTGGACTTGTTCCAACAGTTCCATGTCCTTTTTATGTTGAGGACACCAGAACTGCACACAATGCTCCAGGTGAGGTCTCACAAGAGCAGAGTAGAGGGGCAGGATCACCTCCTCTGACCTGCTGGTCACGCTCCTTTTGATGCAGCCCAGGATACGGTTGCTTTCTGGGCTGCAAGCGCACACTGAAGCCGGCTGTCCTGGGTTCAGCAGTAGCAGTCATGTTTCTCCTTCGTGGTAGCTGGTGCAGTGCTGTGTTTTGACTTCCAGCCTGGGAACAGGGCTGGTGAAGCCGATGTTTTTGGTTGTTGCTAAGTGATGTTTACCCTGAGCAAGGACTTTGTGAGGCTCATGCTCTGCCAGGGAGGAGGGGAAGCCGTGAGGAAGCAGAGATGGGGCGCCTGACCCGGGCTAGCCAGGGAGGTATTCCATACCACAGCACATCATGGCCGGGGTGGGGGGTGACTGGGAGTTACCCAGAAGGACAAGGGCTTCCGGGTGGGACTCGTTTTTTGGCTGGTGTTATCGTATTCTCTTCCCTTGTTACTTTCTCTTATCATTGTTGTCGTTGGTGGTAGCGGTGGTGATTTGTGTTGTACATTGGTTGCTGGACTGTTCTTGTCTCAACCCGTGGGAGACGGCACCCCGTCTCTGCTTCCTCCCGGCTTCCCCTCCTCCCTGGCAGAGCATGAGCCTCACAAAGTCCTTGGTCAGGGTAAACATCACTTAGCAACAACCGAAAACATCGGCTTCACCAGCACTGTTCCCAGGCTGGAAGTCAAAACACAGCACTGCACCAGCTACCACGAAGGAGAAACACGACTGCTACTGCTGAACCCAGGACACCGGCTCATGTTCATTTTCTCACTGACCAACACCCCCAAGTCCTCCTCCGCAGGGCTGCTCTGAATCTCTTCTTTGTCCAACCTGTAGCTGTGCCTGGGTTTGCTCCGACCCAGGTGTAGGACCTTGCCCTTGGCTTGGTCTTAAATGATTCCATAAATCTTAAGGAAGGAATGCTTGGAGTGAAAAGAGAGTTATCTGTGGCAACTGCAAGAAGTGAAGGAGTGCGCATGGCACCTCCTGAAGTTCTGCAAAGTTCTTACCTGCAAAAGTGGAGGTGCACCAGCGAGCCTGCCACTTCTTGAGTCCCTTGCTGTGTCCTGCTGGGTACATTCTCATGGCTGACCACAAACAGCTCACTAGGCTTCTCTTCCGGCTCAGGGGTCCCAGGAGTCATACTTAGGGATGGCTTCTCCTGTTCTCAGCATGCTGATGTGCTGGCCTTTCACTTGGTGAGGAAGCCCTTGCAGGGACTCCCAGCTATCTGCAATGCATGGAAACTTCATTGGGATCTCCGGTGTTTTGTAATATGCCAGAAAAATCCAAAATCATTAGGGGTGAGATGACAGAATGAGGCAAAATGCTGCCTGTACTTGGCTTGGCCCCTAATTTAACTACCAACGCCTCACTTAAATGACATGAACATAGAACAATGAGTTACTGGATACAGGAATGATGAGGCATTGTGATGGGTGAGCTGGGTAACATTTGGGTGGGTATTTGTGTCACTTAAATATATTTTTTTATATACATGAAATAAGTACATGTCTGTTATTGCCAGAATGTTTTGCTGCTATACTTTATACATACAGCTAACTATGCATACTCACCTTCTAAAGAGGTCCAAATCCAATATAGCACATTGTATATGAATATATAGAATAAATTAAAATATATGGAATAAATTAAAAAAATAAAGCCCACACAGTTGTCTCTTTATAGATAGAAAAGTTAACATATGGGAGAGAAAAGACATAATGTTTACATACATAAATTCTTGAAATCTATACATTTAAAGTTGCCAGAAGCAGATAATGTAAAATTCCCCCTAATCACAATCCTCATTCTTTTTTATTAATGTACTTTTGACTTGATATTTTATGAAAACACTTCTTGTTATGTTTGGAAATGTAAATCCTCTCCTGCTTCTACACGTCCTTCAACTACTGCAATGAGTCAAATACTAATTTGTAGCTAAAGCTCCTTTAGTTACTGGAAAAATAGATCATTAATGATGCCATGGAAAAGTCCATTTTTCTATTACTTCTCTAGGTATGTGAATGTCCACCATACTTGCAAAAGAGTGACTGTGCTGCAAACGGTAACAGAATTATGCCTATTTTGTGCAGCTTGTGCTCTGCCCTTAGAAGTTAGGACCAAGGGAAGAGAGGACCGGGTAATTTGGAAAGGGCAAACAGAGTAAGAACTCTGTGAAGTCACTAAGATGGGATATACAGGATATTCAGCATGCCACCGGATACAGGGAACAAGCAGTCTGTTGCACACACCATATCCAGTGGGTCTTAGCTCCCACATTGCACCCAGTCACTGCACGCTCTGTGCCAAAGGGGACAATGCCGTCTATTTCAGATGAAGCTATCTGAAAAGTTTGATGGGAAGCAGTTTTTCATCAAATGAAATCAAAATAAAATACATAATTCAGTAAAGCAGTGAAAAAGCAAAGTGTGTTTTATCGCAGTTTTAGAAAATGAAAATTTCTATATTTAAAATAGAAAAAGTCATAGTTTCCAGATGTTAAAACATGTAAAACTGAAGGATGACAATAGAATTGCTGGGGAAAACATATTTTCATTTGTCTTTTTAGAAAACAGTCATCATATAATCACAAAATTGCTTTTAGAACTAGTGACTAGAAAGGAAGGACCATCATTAAATATATGGGACTGGATCACCACAGTCTGACACCAAATACACCAAAAGATACAGGAAGCAAGGTATGAAATTGTGATAATTACAGTATTAAAGTTATGAGAAACACACATGAAATGTGATTGCAAAGGCAGACTAAAGAGTGGGGTAACAGATGTATTGCTGTCTCTCAGATGACTGGACAATGGCAAGATATACAATATACATGATGAAAATATAAGCTGGTGTTTTCAACACAGGAGTAAGGATTCATATTTCATGTGAGCCAAGTGCTGCACGTTTCTTTCAGCAGAGAAGGTTGTTTTTAGAAGTATGAAAAAGATGAAAGATAAGATTTTTATCTTCAAACAAATTGATTCTATTGAAGACACAGGGTTGCATGCTTGCAGCTGCTAGCACAATACATCCTAAACTGTTTAGAAGATGTTCCAGAGTGAATAAACGTCAAGATCATTCAAAAAGAGCGAGAAAAGGGGCCACTGATGAAGCATGTCCTTGTTTTTCAGGTGGGCTGAGTCCAGAGAGCTCCCATATACCCTAGGAGAAGCATTAAATAGGCACATGTTGAGATTTATTAGTTATAGAATCACAGAATCCCAGCCTGGTTTGTGTTGGAAGGGACCTTAAAGCTCATCCAGTTCCAAACCCTGCCACAGACAGGGACACCTTCCACTAGAGCAGCTTGCTCCAAGCCCCTGTGTCCAACCTGGCCTTGAACACTGCCAGGGATGGGGCAGCCACAGCTTCTCTGGGCACCCTGTGCCAGCGCCTCAGCACCCTCACAGGGAAGAATTTCTTACTAATATCTATATAGATAGACTCGTATATTACTTATATTTTTATGTATATTGATATAAAATAACATCTAAATTTTCTATAATACACTTTTTACAGAAAGTATGTAAGTCATATATACATAACATATATATATAATATATAGACAAGCGAGGCTGAGATGAGTGCTAGAGAGGGATCCCACATTTGTTAAAGCTAAAAGGAAAAGAATGTAATACAATGAAAGGGAATACAGCACAACATATATGGAACGAAGCTCATCTGCCACAGACCCACATCTTCATGTGCACGCAGGGTCAAAGCACAGGCGGATGAACCCTGCCAGCCACAGGCAGGGCTCATCCTAGGCTCTGTGTGCCCACCCCATCTGCACAGCACCTCCTGGGGTAGGGGGGGGAACACTGTGAAGACAGGCTGGGAGGCAAAGGCTGGCTGCCAAGTTTACTGTTCTCTGAATAAGTGCTCTTGAGATCAGCTCCGTGCGGGAAGGCTGCAGAAACCGTTGGGGGATTCAGATGGAACTCTCTCGTAACTCTTACTTTGGAAAGAAAGCAGCCACAGCGACACAAAAGGCATGAGAGGGCAAGCAGGAAGCTAACCGTGCTGGGGATCCCACCTGCCAAAAGCTGCGCTGGTCCGTCTGCCTGGCTGGGGAGCCCGACGATCACATGCATCCCCGTCCTGCCTCCTCCCTCCGCAGCCCCGTCCCGCTGCGCTCCTCGCAACTCCTGCTAAACTATCCCAAAGCGGAGGCGCTTTTCACAGGCAGGATCCTGTAGCCCTCTGCGTCTCCTTCGGGGGGGTTTGGTGCCGAGGCTGTTTTCTCCCTTTCCATATAAAGTTCTGGGGCTTGCAGAGATTGCTGCACAAGCAAAGGGTAATGATTGCCCTTAGCAAGAAAGGCTCATGCTCTTCTCAACTCTGCCTCGCTCTCTGCGCCTTTGGGGTGGCATTGCTGAGGGACGTGTCCCAGGCGGTACCCATGGACGATCAGGATTATTACCTGCAGGAGATTAGCAACAGGGATCACTATTATTCCTTTCCATATCCTGGTGAAGAGTTTTTCCCTTTCACGGAGCAGCCCGGAGAGGAAGGACCTATCCGTGCTGCAGATACAGAGGAGCACCCCCAGTTCAAACCCAGCAGGAAAGAGTTAAAAGCGAAGAAAAGCAACAAAAAAGGAAAAGCCATTCTTGAAACTCCACCAGGTAACTTTCCACCTCCTCCTCCAGAGCTTGGAGTCTGCTAATCTCATGCTGACTGTGACTTTTAACATTAATGAATATCCAGTTAATAGCAGTCTTGGTAATAATAACAGTAACCATGGTCGTGGCAATGATGATGGCAACACATTATCCCACAAAACAGAACTTTTATAGGCTTTTTAACCCTTTCTTCATCAAGTAAAGACATTTTAGAGTGGTGATTATATCTTATGCTGCGCTCTAGCTAGTATATGGATTTTAACTTCTTACTTACACTTGACAACTGGGTTGCTATTAAAGCTGTTGTTCTATAAGCGAAAGAGGAGAGGTGGATTCTGTAAAAGCTGATTGTATATGGTGCCACCTTACTTTGTTCTTTGGCTTTTTTTTTAATTTATGAGAGGTTCCTGAATTACTTTACTTGTAAACCTGTGAATTGCTTTCAGATTTCACTTTAAAGGCCTCCAGAGGGAGATCTGTAAACAAAGATCTTCCTGTAAAAGACTAAGTCATAACAAGTTCAATTTAATTACTGACCTGCAAAATAAAGAAATTAAACAGCAACAAAAATGACTTACGCTAAAAAAAGGCCACCGTTAATCCCATTCTCTATTTTCTCTGTTTGATGGGGTGAAAATATGCAACTATTAAAGTCTGCAGAAACTTGATCAGCTTTTACCATTCAGTTGTTCCTGGAAGAAGAGTAATTTCTTTCTGTGCTTCCCACACATATGGTTGGTGCTTTAATGGTTTGGGATACCAGTAGGTTTAGGAGTGAGTTTCACCCATGACCTTTTGACTTATAAATCCCTATAGCTACACTCTGCTTTACTTCAGAAGGAAACTTATAATGTCAACAGCTGGAGCATAAGGAGCAAAGTTTGCAATGCAGAGCCATTAATACATGGAGTACAGGAAAACAGCGGATCCAGGGTTGTAGAGCGGCTTTAGCTTTTGCCAGTTACATCTGGGAGATAGTAAACAAAATACTTTCCATTTAATATTAACGCTAACAAATTCATTACCTTTTGATAAGCAAATAGATGAGCTCTTATAATAATAAATACTGATAAGAAAATACCATTTCTGAAGTATGGAAAACTGTGGGGCAGGCAGTTTGAATTGCCACTGAAAATACTGCCTGGACCATGACAAGGACTAGTTTATTGGCTTTATTATCTAACTATGTGCAACACATGGATTTTAAAGCTACCTACTTAGGTACCAGGATTACTCTTCTTCAGTGTGGTGCAGACAATACAGATTTCCAGCCTGCAATGGGATGTTCTCCAGTTCAGCTCTGCTTTCACCTTCCCTGTTGGCATTTCCCTGATTTCCTCAACCCCATGGCTTCACGTACTCCACCAAACATGACACCAATAAGGCCAGCAACCAGTCTGCAAGAGCAGGGTTCATTTCTCTTTACAGATAGGCATCTTCCTTGTTCTCCACCCATGGCAATGAGCACCTTACAAGTGCAAAGAAGGCAGCAGCAGTACCAACAACCACCTCCATCATTGTGGAACACTCATCCCTTCCAAGCCTGATTTAGTTTATGCACTGCAGGTACAGCAGTACAAAATTCAAACTGTGTAACACTGATGACCTACTAGGGGAGCATACTGAGGTCTTGCATGTAGTCTGAATTTGGCCATGGAATCACATTTTTGTATATAGGAAAATACGGAATTAGAAAAAGAAAAATAGACCTCCTTAAGCCTTCTCTAGAAAACACTTCATTTTGTGCCAACCAATTGACATGTGAAGAATTCTTCTAATTTACTCATTTTTACCTTTCACCCTACCTGGCTCTCTGAGTCCAGGGAATCATTTTATTTCTGCATTCCATCAGGTAAGGTCCTTCCTCAGCCTCCTCCTGTTTCACAGCATGGCCAAGCAGAAAGTCAAGGGGATCCTGGCAAGGGCTTGTGATGCACCACCAAAAGCACCTGGAAAGAGCTCAGTCTCTCCTGGCTGATGCTCTTTTGAACCAACTGAGCTACCAAGCTTTCACCAGCCATGTGTAATAAGAGGTTTTAAAGCCTATGAGCTTATGAGCGCTGGAACAGGTTGCCCAAATAAGTGATAAATGCTCCATCCCTGGCAGTGTTCAAGGCCATGTTGGACAGAGTCTTGAGTTACATGGTCTGTTGTGAGGTGTCCCTGCCCATGGCAGGGGGTTGGAACTGGATGATCTTAAGGTCCTTTCCAACCCAGACTAGTCTGGGATTCTATGATTCTAAGAAAAACAACAGCCAGAGGTGTAACAAGCCACTAATTCCCTCCACCAAACTCACTTCTTGCTCCAGCACAGGAAGGCTTGACACCAGTTCAGCAATCTGCCTGTTAGACTTACTTCAATATGGGAAAATGCTGTATTTCCTTGGGAGCAGCTGAACTATTTTAACTGCAATAGCCATAATAAGCCCTCAGGCAAACACACAGCAAGAGGATGGTTACCATTTGTTAAAGATGTAAGTGAAAACAGGAGGTTTTTAGCAGGAAGTGTCTGGCATTTTTAAATGCAGCGTTAAAAGGTCTAGCTATAATACTTGAAATGTTTCCTTTTAACTCTCCCAAATGCAGGTGAGGGTCAGGTCCTGCCAGAGCAGTGACCCCAATGCTTAATGCCATGTCACTGTGTCACCAGGAATTGGTTTGAAATGAAGATCTGATAATCCCAGGTGTCTAAATAATGATAAATGACTATAATTTCTCACATCTGACCTGTTAAGAGGACAGCTAAAAGTAATAATAGCAGCTATCAAACACATATCCATGACTAGTAACTCTAAATCTGGCTGTGTAAATATGGGTGTTGTGTGTATGTGTATACTTTAATGTGTTAATAAATATATCCAGAACTGGAATTAATGTATTAGACATGCAATAAATACAAAAATGTGGGGTTTGTGAGCTTCCCTGGCAGCCAGGGCATGAGGGATTAATTAGTTACAACAAACAATAGTCTGGCTGGGAGCTGGGATGAAGAAAGAGGAGAAACAAGAAATGTGTGATCTGCCCTTTGGCTGAGCAGCTGGTACTGATCAGCCCTAGCTTTGAATCAAAGCTGGAATCGAACATAGCAGTCTGAAGGACACAGCACAGAACAGATGACACCGACTCCATTTATTTAACCTTATTACTGAAGGTAGAGAGAACATATATATTTTATCTGTGAAAGATCAATGTAGAGAGAAATCCTATTGATGATAGTGGGGTTGCAATGTGTGTGGGGGGTTCAAATAATTATTAGGATCAATATTTGCAAATACTTGATCCAGGTAACAGTTCAAAATATCAATCAGTCTCTTTGCCCTTTAAACAGCTTATAAATAAAGTGGTATCAGGTCATCCTTGGGAGGTAAGCAGTTGGATTGACAGGTTTCTGTATATACATATTTCCATTTTCTAATTCCATCCTTGTTTATGTAGGCTTCTATCCAAAGCCTATTCAAATCACTGGAAAGAGTCTTATTAACATCAATATTTTTCTTTTATGAGGCCTTTTAATAGATTTAATATATGCCTTCTCAGCTATGAGCTGTGGGACAGATCCATATAAATGGTTTGGGAGGTCTGCCTGCATACAGTAAAAAAATCTGTCACTAGGAGGTTTATGGGGTTGAGATCCCTATGAACACTGCTCAGTGCTGCACATTGCTGTGGGTTGTGACTGAAAGGTTCCCCCTTTTAATTCCTATTGCACCCAAATCTGCCACAGTTATATCTATAATTATTTTTATTTGATTTACAAAACTAATACTTTTTAGAGTAGTTCTTGTTCTGGCCATGCCTCTGTTCTTAATGTCCTCAAAAAATAAAGGAGTAATGTTTATTTATATGGCAGCATGGGGTTTACTGCACATTTATTTTGTATTTCACAAATCTCACAGTATTTTATTTCTGTGTAATCTCTGCATGATGTGTGTTTGTATGTAGTTATCATGATTTCGTAGAATCAGAGAATCCCAGCCTGGTTTGTGTTGGAAGGGACCTTAAAGCTCATCCAGTTCCATCCCCTGCCACGGGCAGGGACACCTTCCACTAGAGCAGCTTGCTTCAAGCCCCTGTGTCCAACCTGGCCTTGAACACTGCCAGGGATGGGGCAGCCACAGCTTCTCTGGGCACCCTGTGCCAGCGCCTCAGCACCCTCCCAGGGAAGAGCTTCTGCCTAAGAGCTCATCTCAGTCTCCCCTCTGGCAGGTTAAAGCCATTCCCCTTGGCCTGTCCCTACAGGCCCTTGTCCCAAGCCCCTCTCCAGCTTTCCTGCAGCCCCTTCAGGCACTGGAGCTGCTCTCAGGTCTCCCCTTCAGGAGCCTTCTCTTCTCCAGGCTGACCCAGCCCAGCTCTCTCAGCCTGGCTCCAGAGCAGAGCTGCTCCAGCCCTTGCAGCAGCTCCGTGGCCTCTCCGGGCTTGCTCAAGCAGGTTCATTTGGACAAAAAGGACTTTGCCTTGTCTCATCTGCTGCTTTCCCCAGGCTCAATGAAACTTTTCAGATGCATCCCTGTTTGCTTGCCAAATATACTTTTTTTTGTGTGTAATGTTGCCAGCTGCTCAACACTGTAATTCTGAGGGGTTTTGGTTAGTTGTTTTTTTAAATTTATGTAGTGTATAGGAATTTCTTGTCTGGCTCAGGATCTCGCTGGATTTGTATCTGAGGAGGAGTTAGTAAAGGAAGGCAAAAAGAGGATAAAACGACCAGTGCAAGCAACCATGAAATTATCTTGCAGAAAGGATTTGCATGGATAAAAATAGAACTGGTGGTGCATTAATCGAGGCACTTATCAAGAGATGAGATAATGAAGGCTTGGAGAGAGACATCGATGAGTGACTGAGGAGGAAAAGCTGAATCATACAGATGTTATTCAGGAAAAACTGGAAAGATTTGGCTGTTAAATGGTGATGAAGGCATGAAGAGGGTATGAAGTTGAAAGCATGGATGTTTATGGTGTCGCTGGCATTTGAATGATGAATTTGTTCACTGCGATGAAGATATGAGT